CTCCTCCTCCTCTCCATTATCCTTCTGCTCCAGTCCGCAAACTCCACTCCCTTCTAGCACTGATGACGTTACCCAGTTTGGCAATAAAACGTCCGCAAGGAGACCCCCCCCAGCTCAGGAAGTACCAAGGACCCCACCGTCAAGTATTCCCAGCAAATGGCAGAAGCCAGAGAACAGGCGGCGGTTTTTTGCATTCACGGATTGATTGAGGCTGTTTCTGTTGTCTCTAGCAAGGCCGTGGCTATTTAATTTCTCCCTCTTTTTTTTTTTTCTTTCTTCCCCTTGTTGTTTCCCCCCCCCCCCTTTGAGTCTTTTGCTTTTCCCCTCTGTAATTCTGGCACGCTGGCTTCTCTCTCAGCTGGTGAAGCTGTCAGAACAAATAGCAGGCAATATATGGGAGCTAGGCAAACACATGGGTCAATGTCAAACAGAAGCCAATCGCTCTCCAGGCCCAAAGCCAAAAGGGCTGAGCTTTTCAATTTCGCTCATGTCCTCCCAATCTAAATAGCGTTAGGCTGCTTTAAAACACAAAAAAAGAACGCCTGGGCAAAATCTCTCCCCTTTGCTCCATTCATCGGGGTTTTTTTTTCAAAGCCGCCCCCCTCTCTTCTTCTTCTCCTTCTTTTTTTTTTTTTGCACAAACATTCGCGCCGTCCCTCCCCTCTTTTTCTTTTTCTTTTGCACAAACACGAAGAGCAGATGGGGAATTGAGCGGGGAGCCTCAGCCATCTCCTTGGCGGATGGCGAGGGGGGAAAAAAAAAGCATCAGTGTATAATGATTATAAAGGGAACATTTAACAATTAATTGAGCCGGCAGAGCTTTCGGATTTCCAGGGCTTGCTTGCTAAGCAAAAGGGCAGGGGAGAATTTCAACGGCACCCTAGGAGAGCTCGGCCCAATTAAGCGCTGGGTAAATAACATAAAATAAAAAATCTGGCTCGGCCAGGATGCAAACGTGCTGGAGAGAGATGAGAAAAAAAAGAAAAAACAAAAGGTAAGAGAGATAAAGAGCAAAAAACCAACGCCTTGCGCTGTTGTCCTGCTGCGTTCACAGGTAATCCAACCGACACCAGGCAGCGGCAGGGAAAGCTGTTTAATGGGAGGGTCAGAAACAATGCAATTCCAAGAAGAAGAAAAAAAAGAGAGAGATGTAATATAGAGGACGGCGGTGACAAAATGACAAGCCTTTTATCCGTCTTGGGGTGCAAACAGGTTAAGCAGGAGTGCTGCCACAAAGAGGGGGAGAGGGGGGGGACGAAGCCCCCTCCTCTGGGCCCAGCATATGGGTCACTGCCAAGGCTAGCAGGTCCCCCCTGCCTTAAGAGTCATACATAACCGGACAAGGAAACCGTTTCGTTTTTTACTGAACGAGTGCAAGTAAATAAAACGCTTGCCTGTAGAAAAATTGGCTAAAATTTGGCTAAAATCGGACCCTTCCCGTTGACCGTGCCCTCTTTTTTTTTCTAAATAAACAGCTTTTTTCTTTTTTTTAATTTGCCATCCTCCCTTTTCCTCGCCTCCAAGCTCTGGTGGGGCTCTTTGAGGCTGCCATCTCCCACCCCTCCCCGGTCGACTTTTTCGGCCAAAGCCTGCTTAGAATTGGATGGGGAAAAAGCTGGTGGAACAAAGATGGCTGTGGAAGGGACGTTGTACCCCGGGCCAAGCCCTGGGAGGGGAGCCATGTTATTTTTCTCCAATCCCTGGCCCAGAAAAAGCTGGGTCAAGGAGCCCTCGCCGTTGAGAAAGGTACTTTTGACTCCAAAAGGCCGAAGCGGAGAGGCCGACGGGCTCTGGGAAGCCTTAAGTGGAAAGAGGACCAAGCTGCAATTTGTTAAGAGAGTCTGACAGTCCTCTGTGTTTCTCGGCCGAGGGAGCCAGGGTTGTCCGAAGACAGTTCCCGCAGTTGTGTGAGCACGCACAGAACGCTGTTACCTTCCCCCTGAAGGGGTACCTATTAATCTACTCGCGCTTGCCTGCTTTTGCACGGTTTGGTGGGTGGCCCGCCCCCCAACCGTTGCACGGCGCTGGGCTCCTGAACCCGGAGAGTCAGTTTTCCAGCTGACAAGCTCAGGTTATTGACTCGCCCTGAGTAGTTAATTATGACCCAATAAATAAAGATTAAATTAAGAGTAATGCCTCCATTACAAGGTGGGGACGCCTGTATCCGGAAGTATCCTTTCCCACGGACAGCAGGGCTGTTGGAGATGCAGCTTCCCAGGGATTTACGAGGAAATTACGGATTCTGACTAGGAAAGGGAAATAGCTGGCCAGAATATGGGAATGTGAAGCGGGTGGCTTCCAAAGTAGTGGGTGCTACACGGCTATTTGACACACACACACACACCCCTTTTGTGGGTGAGAATTTTAAGAGACGCCGGCTGAGGAATTCTGAGAGTTGAAGTCCACAAGTCATCAAAGGGCCACGTTTGGAGAGCCTTGCTCTAAAACAGTGGTTCTCAACCTTTTTAATGCCGCGACCCCAACCGGTCGTAAGTCGAGGACTAAACCGGTCGTAAGTCGAGGACTATCCAACCGGTCGTAAGTCGAGGACTTTCCCTGCCCGGGAGCGCCGCGCGTGCGTGGTTCCGCCCCCTGCGCCGGCCGAGGCGTAGCTGGCAAGCGGCAGAGACGGAGCAGGCCGACCACCAGCTGGCCCAGCCCAAGGGAGGTAAGGCACCCGCCGGAAAAGGGGGAAAAAATGGCGTACAAAAAAAATATGGCGTACAAAAAAAATGGCGGACAGCCTTGCTTGGCGACCCCCGTGAAATGGTCGATTGACCCCAAATGGGGTCCCGACCCACAGGTTGAGAACCACTGCTCTAAAAGGATGCAAACGACTAGCGGTCTGCAAGGAACAGAATGCCTTCCATGCCCCGCCATCCGGTCAGAGCTGAAGAAGCTTCGTGGAGGAGAAGCGAAACATCTTCAGAAGAAAAAACAAATTGCTTTTTGAGAGGGTCCTAAGTCCCTTTTTTCAGTCCTGTTCTAACTTCAAATGGCCATGCAATTGCCTGTCCTCAACAAGGCTTGTATGATCAATGAAGGTGCATGACGGAAGCAAGGACACCGGGAGAGAGAACGGGAACAGCATTGGCTTAAATTCAGTTCTGTTAGATTTCCTTTGTGTGTGTGTGTGTGTGTGTGTGTGTGTTTACCTCTTGCTTTCTTTGGCTCACAACGTCTGACTCTTTGCGGGATGCCGCTCATCCCAGAAGGGAATAGCCAGATTGATATGTATGTACTGAGGCATGTAAACAGCCACACGCTTGGCTGCGGGTATCAGCCAAGAACTTTTCATATAGCCATTTCTTTATCAAAAAAGTAAGCCCAAAGCAGCTAGCAGAGAAGAAAACGGCAAAAAAAAAGGGGAACAGGCAAAACATACCGCCGCACCTCTAAATGCCGAAATACAAAAATTCAAGCTATTAATTCTGGCAATGCTATTAAATATCAAGCTAACGTTCCCTGGGAAAAGCCAAGTTTTAGCGTTTCGCTAAAAAAGAACGAAACCTAGAACTAAGGAGAAACTTCCCGACAGTGAGAACAATTAACCAGTGGAACAACCTGCCTCCAGAAGCTGTGAACGCTCCAACACTGGAGGCTTTTAAGAAGAGACTGGACAGCTATTTGTCTGAAATGGTACAGGGTTTCCTGCCTGAGCAGGGGGATGGACTAGAAGACCTCCAAGGTGCCTTCAATCTGTTTTTCTGTTATTCTTCCTTCCTTCCTCCCTCCCTCCCTTCTCCAACACTGGAAGTTTTTAAGAAGAGACTGGACAGCCATTTGTCTGAAATGGTACAGGGTTTCCTGCTTGAGCAGGGGGTTAGACTAGATGACCTTCAACAGCTGCCTGTTGAAAAAGCACCTTTGAGAGTATAACAAGGAAAACGGTGAGCTCCTTGGTTCAGGGACTCTCATTTCACACACACACACAAACACAACACACACAGAATGTGATATAAGAGCTGAGGATATCTCTCTCTCTCTCTCCCCCCCCTCTCTCTCTCCTTCTCCCTCTCTTTCTCTCCCTCTCTCCTTCTCCCTCTTTCTCCCTCTCTCTCCCTCTTTTTCTCTCTCCCCCTCTCTCTCCCTCTCTCTCCCTCTCCCTCTCACCTCCAGGCCGGTAGACGACATCGTCCTCCGTGATGAAGGAGGTGATCTCCCCGTTGTCCGTCCTCTCGTAGCGGGACTTCTTCTTCGGAGGCTTCTTTTTGTTCTTCTTGGTGGACTCCTCGGTGGTGGCGCTGTTGTTGTCATTGTCCTCGTCCTCGCTGTGGTCGCTCTCGGCGTAGTTCTTGGCCCCGCCCTCCAGGGTGCAGCTCCGGCGGGGCCGGGAATGCTCGCTCTCCCGCGCCTTGTCCCGTTTGTCCCGGTCCCGGTCCTTCTCTTTCTCTTTGTCCTTCTCTTTGTCCGCTGTCATGATGCGCCAGGTGCCTTCTTCCGTCCTCTCACGGCTCGGCCTCCGTGAAAGGTAGACAGTCAGCCTGGGCTTCAGTCTTCTGAATTTCGCACGCCACTCCAGGGAAAATGGGACCACGCCGGTAACCCCAGTGTTTTAAAAAGGTCCTGGAGAAGGAGAGAGAGAGACACACACAAAGACCACGTTAGCCACCAGCCACGCCTTGGGGCAACCTGCAAAATCTGTTAAGACGGGTCCTGTGCGTGGCTGCCCTTCAAACGCTCAGCCACGGGGGAATGGGACAACTCGCCACGGCCAACTCACCGTGGCCACGTTGCCGTGGCCAACGCGCTGTGCGACAACTCGCCACGGCCAACTTGCCACGGGACCACTGGCTGCGGAACAATTGAACTACTCCGTTTAGTTGTTTAAAGACAAGTTTAAAATTGTTTTAATTTTTTGCCGTTCGCGTTTCGTTCAGTCCTTCCCTCTGGCATCCTTTCTTTAATGATTCTTTCCCATAATTTCTTTGATATTCGTGCCACTTTTGTCCCGCAACGAGTCGTCCCGCGGCAACGGGGAGTTTCTGCACCTAAAGGCACTTGAGTTATCCCCAAATTCCTAATGGGCAATAGAGGTTGGGACTTTGGAAAAAGTGCAGAGAACAGCAACTAAGAGGATCCAAGGCCTGGAGACTAAAAGACATACGAACAACGGCTGCGGGACTTGGGTTTGGCCAGTCTAAAGAAAAGAAGAAACAGGGGAGACAGGATAGCAGCGTTCCAGTATCTGAGGGGCTGCCACAAGGCAGAGAGGGTCAGGCTATTCACCAGAGCACCAGAGGGAAGGACGAGAAACAATGGTTGGAAGCTGATCAAGGAGAGAAGCAACCTGGAATTAAGGAGAAACTTGCTGACAGTGAGGACAATCAACCAGGGGAACAGCTTGCCACCAGAAATCGTGGGCTCTCCATCACTGGAGATTTTTAAGAAGAGGCTAGATCAGGGGTAGGCAACCTCGGCTCTTTTATGACTCATGGACTTCAACTCCCAGAATTCCTGAGCCAGCTATGCTGGCTCAGGAATTCTGGGAGTTGAAGTCCATGAGTCATAAAAGAGCCGAGGTTGCCTACCCCTGGGCTAGATAGTCACTTTTCTGAAATGGGATAGGTTCTCCTGTTTAAGCAGGGGGCTGGACTAAAAGACCTCCAAGGTCCCTTCCAGCTCTATTCTATTCTATTCTATTCTATTCTATTCTATTCTATTCTATTATTCTTCATCGAAATCGATGGACGAACAACATTATCCTATCCTATCCCATTCCATTCCATATTTTCTATTCTATTCTTATTCTTATTCTATTCTATTCTTCCATGCACTGGGGAGGTCCCAGGGCCCCCCACATCCCCAACATGTTACGACGATAATTCTTTGAAAGGAAACTCGGACTTCATTAAATCTTTTCTGAAGCACGCTGGAAAGTTTAAAGGCGCTATTGTCTCAATGCGCTCCTAGGAACCAAACTTTGTTGTTTTAAAAAAAAAGCCACAGGAAAACAGACACCCTTGGGGTTAACAAAGCTTTCTGCTTCAAATTCAAATCTGGAGCCCAAAGGGGAATATGTATTGCGGAACATACACTAATCTGCCACACATTTTATTTTTTATTTTTTATTTTTTGAAATGTCCATGGAAAAACATCTGGGGAGACCAAAAAAAAAGGGGGGGGGGAGGATTTGCAACTGTCCCTTCCTGGGGAGCAGAACCGTGGCCATCTTAACCTGCTCCATCAGACTGACCGCATCAATGCATCCATGTGGGGAAACCAAGTTTCATTTATGTCAATCGTTTTCTCCGTCTGAAGCTCAACCAGGCCATGGTTTCCCCCCAACCCCTCGGCCTCCAAGCTTGTGGACATAGACCGGTAGTCCCTGACTTATAACCATTCATTTAGTTGCCATCCAAAGCGACAGTGACACCGAAAAGTGACTTATGACCACTTTTCGCACTTACGACCGTTGGGAGCATCGCTGTGGTCCCAGGATCCCAATTCAGATGCTTGGCAACCGGCGTGTAGTATTTACGACGGTTGCCGTGTCCTTGTGTGTGTGTGTGTGTGTGTGTGTGTGTGTGTGTGAGTGAGAGAGAGAGAGAGAGAGAGAGAGAGAGAGAGAGAGAGAGAGAGAGAGAGAGAGAGAGAGAGAGAGAGATGTGATCCCCTTTTGCGGCCTTCTGACAAGCAACGTTGACAGGGATAAGCCAGATTCACGCAACAGCCGTGTCGCTAACTTAACAACAATGGCAAGAAAAGTCGCCAAAGTGGAGCCAAACTCACTGGACTGTCTTGTTTAGCAACGGGAAATTTTGGACTGGGTCGTGGCCGTAAGGCGAGGACTCCCTGGATCTGACAGGTCTTCCAGCAGCAATGTGAAGGCTGCCCAGCCCCAAGGACAGGGCCTGAGTCAACCTTTCTGATGCCATAAAATTTGGCACCTGGGATGGCATCTAAAGGATGGCATGGGTAGGCCAGAGGGGTCTTTTCCAGCAAAGCCAAATTACACACACACACACACCCTCGTGACTTTTCCGGCCCTGGTGGAGTCCTAATAAATTTCTATCCTTTCCCTCGGAGCGGGCAGGCCTTAACTAACCACATATGATATAGTTAAGAAGCTCAGCTACCAATCCATCTTCTCTTGCCCCACAGGCTGGAACCAGCTACTTAATCTTTGCAATCAATCGTGGGCGCCTTTTTTTTTTTTTTTTTTTTTGGTTTAAGAGGGAGGGATAAAGACTGGCCCAAAAAAAGGGGGGGGCATTCTTCATAAATTTCCACCTACGTGTACACAGCTTTACACAGACAGGGCTAAAACAGAATGGAAGCACTAGAAGATCCTACGCAAGCTTCAGCTCCTACGTTTGCAACTAAAAGAAATCAATTAATCTATTCAGAGAATGAGAATCCATGCAAAGTCCTTTTTTTGGGGGGGGGGAGGCTGATTGATACCTGCAAGTAAGCCACTACTGTCTATATACCCTCACTGGAAGAAAATGCACAGCTCTTCCGCGACTGGATCACAGATCCAGATCTTCCCCTCTCAGCCTTTCGAAATGAGAGGCAGGCCCCGAACCCGGAGCCTTCTTCCAGGTAAGGGGGCGGGCGAGGTGCATCGTATCATATGGAGTCGTAACCTGGTTTTTTTGATTTTGGGCACCGTGGGGGACCCAGCCAGGATAGCTTACCCTGCCTGCCTGCTATTTACCATCTGAATGAGATCTCCCAGGTTGGTTTAGGAAACCGCTCTTCAAGAGCTTTTGCAAGATGAGCAAACTCAGGCCGAGGACGTGACACACATTCTCTTTATCACACACACACACACACACAGTTTTTAAGAAGAGACTGGACAGCCAGTTTGTCTGAAATGGTATATAGGGTTTCCTGCTTGAGCAGGGGGTTGGACTAGATGACCTCCAAGGTCCCTTCCAACTTTATTACTACTACTACTACTACTACTACTACTACTACTACTACTACTACTATTATTTTACACCCCCCAGAGATTGCCACCAGAAATCGTGGGCGCTCCATCACTGGAGATTTTCAAGAAGAGACTGGACAATCCCGTCTGAGACGACATAGGTTCTCCTGCTTGAGCAGGGGGTTGGACTAGATGACCTCCAAGGTCCTTTCCAACTTTATGATGATGATGATGATGATGATTTTACACCCACCGGGGGACACACACAGATTGCAAATGCAGCCACAGCTGCACAGAGGGAAGCTAGGGTTTTTTTGTTTTTGCTTTAAACTGTGCTGGGACAAAAAGATCCTACATCAGAGGTCTCCAACCCCCGATCCGTGGACCGGTACCGGGCCGTGGCATGCCAACAACCGGTCCGCACAAACAAGCAAAGCCCCATCCGTGGGATGCAGGCAGCACACAAAACCACGCACTTTCCGGTCCGTGGAAAAACCTCTCTCCACGGAACCCAAAAGATTGGGGATCTCTGCTCTCTCCATCCTGATGGAAACACCAATTTCAAGGGACCGATCTATTTGTAGCCTCCAAGGGTCAGGGGTGGCCATAAGTAGCTTTGAAGATCAAAATCTGCTCCTTCTCAGAACTGACTCCTCTCCTTTTGAAAAGAGAGAGGGAAAAAAAAGGGGAGGAGAGGCAGTAATGAAATTCTTAGACCTGGGTTGACTTTATTCCCAACAATGATAACCTTCAAAATGATAAATTGACTTGGCTGTCGTAACACCACCAGGCCTGAGAGGCACGGTTCTTCCCCACTTACACACGCCCCTGTTTTTTCCAGATGGAGGCCAACAGCTCCAGAAGAGATTAAACAGCTCTAGGAATTTTGTCCTAAGGCAGCTACAACTAAGAGGATCTCACGCACGCACGCAACGTTGAAGAGGTGATTGCCACCCAAAAATTGCTCTGGTATTAGAGGCTTTTTGTAAACAGAGTGAGCGAATTGCTCTGTGGCTCCTTTAAAGGAGTCCTTGGCTAGCTGTGGAATCCTGGGAGTTGAAGTCCAGGCTTCTAAAAGTTGCCCACTTTTCCAAATCCTTTTCTACACCACCAACAAAATTTGCCAAACCCCCATGAATAAGGTCTGCGCTTGTCCAAACTGGAGCATCCCTGAACAACAAGAGGCCAGGAAAATATCGATAACGTTCCTTTCCTTTCCCGCAGCATGTCCGCAACCGGTCCGCACAAACAAAAGCAAAGGCCCCATCCGCGGGATGCGGGCAGCATACAAAACCACACACCCTCTCGGAAAAACCCTTCTCCACGGAACCGGTCCCCGGTGCCCCAAAGGTCGGGGGGGGGGGCTCTGCAACAAAGCACAACCTCTTGCAGAGTTGCTGGAACCAGAACACACCACAGGCTTTAAGGGGAAGCCTTGGACCCACAACGTGCCAGGAAGGGCCGGCAGGCCACACAGCCTCGGCGGGAGAGCCTTCACGGCACAATTGCCGGAGTGGTGGCTTCGATGCAACGGCGGAGGGGGA